AAAATAGGTGCTCACTGGCACTTATACTCACCATAGCTATAAGCAAGCACAAGCATGAACAACACCTGCAGATTACACACGTAATTTATTATATGTTGTTATACTGATTCATACATACTGCTATAAGTCTATCTAGTTACCTAGAAACAATTTTTGAAGTGCAAGTTAAAGTTTAAAAAGCCCTACAGTTACTGTGACAAAATGTTGGTCCGGATTTCCGGCTCACATATGGCAACAAAAAAACACAATTTTCCATGCGCCTTCTTTTGTAATTGACAAAAAAAAAAGTTTACCCTTAAATATTTATATACAGAGGGAACTCCACTCAAGAACTTGTTTACCTCATGGCGAGGCATTGAACAAGTGTATCCTACTAGAGTTTAAGACAGCCTAAAATAAGAATCATGTCACATTAGTGTCCGCCAGATTTTCTTTCCAGAAAAAATAAAATCCGTATCGCACAGCCTTCTGTGTTTCTTAAAAGTCGAATGCGTTTCGCCTAGCTCTAATCCGATTCGGATTATGATAACTCTACTACACGCTTCTGTATGCAAAAATCTCATGACAAGCTTCATATGTATTTGTTTGTTTGTTTTTTGCATAAATTATTCCGAGAGGGGTGGTATATAGAATTACTAGAGATCTTCTTCGTCCAGCTTGCATTCTGTTAGGTAGGTGTTCATGTTCCAGAAAAGTAGTTATAGTGAGCAAGGTTGAGTCGTAAAATGTACAGTTCTATCTCAGAAACACATTCCTTGAAGTCTGTGTTTTACATAGGATTTACTGGACTAGCATCGGATCATGTGCCTAGTCAATATTTCCAATTTATGCAACAAATATTTTAGAGGCTAGTAAAATTATGTAAAAAGAAAATAACCAATACCGACAAGAATTCGAACCCCAATCTAAACCAAGTTGCTACATGTTCTTAAACGTAGTTATTATTATCTACTAAGTTGTACAAAACAATATTGACATAAAATACTTATTCTTAATGATATCATGTTAGTTTATGATTTAATCTGTATTTTGCAACCTTGCTGAAAATAATAATTTGGAACAAAAGAAGGCAAGAGGTTATTGATTAATATGATAGATTCTTTCTGGTACTAGTCGTACAGTCCTTGTACGGAGGTTAAATTATATCAAAATGATTTTAGAGTCTCACCGCGTCATTACAGTACATGTTGCCGTGTCCAGTCATACTCTGTGTGACGGTCGTACATCTTGACAATAGCCCTGCAGCGTATTTTCCATTGCAAAAAGCTCCATCGTAAGGCTTTCATGTGAAAAGCACACCACCATCCCATGTGGCCTTTCCACAATCTATCTGTTGTACGAAGATAATAGTTTCCCAGTGCTCATTTCAACAGTCTGATCGCTCAGAAATTCATAGGTGATACGTCTAGCGATTTGGACAGTATGACTTCGTTTAGAAAACGTGAATACCCGTTTAATTTTCTATATGCTTGGGGTTTATGTAGTGATTAATTGGATATGTCATGGAAGCAACTTTTATCCTTTTCCGAATAGATGTCTTTCTTTATTATGTTGCATACTGTTGCCTTGAGCACGTTAGAAGCTTTTACCACTGACATTCATTTTCAAGGATTCTCACCTGTTATAAAATGCTGGACTTTACTTACCACACCTGGGGTACGACTTGTTGCAGGTCTCTTTCTGGATAGTTCTGGGTCCTCAATTTGATCCATATTCCTTTATTTCATAATTTCATTAAGTACAAGGGATATCCCCGTCAGAATATTTCTTTGTGACCTGATTATGTTAATATTTTGCATTGGAGGACTGTTAAATGCCCTTTCCAAAGCGATCAATTTTAGGTTCCATCCCCCTACCTACGAAACATCAAACAATGTCTAAATGTAGTTACGATAAAGTTCCAGTGGAACAACATGTATAATATAAATCGTCTGTTGTTGTCGCGTGACTTCCTGATTTCCATATTCCAAAGGGTTTTAGTAAAACATATTCATCCCTCTTTATTATGTTGAAGTCATTTAATACTTGAAATTCATTAAGAAAATGTTTTATTAAAGTTTCCAGATTCAAACACAGAAGTTACCAAGATTCTTCTGCCAGTATAATTTAACTAACTTATATTGTTCTGGATGATAACTTGAGAACATAATTAAGAATCTTCTTTGTGGGGAAGAGTAGAAAAACTCTTCTGGGTAATGATAAGAAAATGTAATGTCGTGTTTTGACATGTCACAGAAATCAGACTGTAAATTCTTTCAAGTTCACAAGGTTTCTGATTTTCTTGCTCATTGTTCGAGTTATGTGATCTGCGCATGACTGATTAGTTTTCTGTATATTTTCTTTGAGTTTTGAAACAGATGCCAGATGTTTTTCATAATTTTTGATGTCATCGATGTTCAGTATAGTTCAATTTACATTTAAATGGGCCGGGCGTGGTTCAATGGTTAGTTTGTTGGGCTGCATGTAGGAGGATCAAAAGTTCAATATATTATAGCACTGAACACGCTCCGCATTTTTGGAATATGCGTGCATTATAAAATTGAGAATCAATTCCATTATTTGGTTTAATGAGCTGGTCAAAACATATGTGGTGGCGAGTGCTGCTGTCTGGCAGCCACTCTTTTGGTCAAAAGTTTAAAATTAGGGACGGTTATACCTGAATCCTAGGTCTTTGACCTGATCGTTTAGTCCACTTACGCACATGATTCTAATCAAATTGAATATTCCAATTCCATTATCCTTTTTCAAAGAAGACTTACGTTTAAAATTGTACGGTATGTGTATTGATAAGATGCTTCAAGCAAAATATACATCGGAAAAAAATTAAATAACCCGAATGAAGAAAATCAAGGCAAAAATTATTCAGTGATTTAACCTTTAGTTCTGATTATGGCTGTGAATTAGAACAAACAACGACCACAAATACAGAAGAAATTAGTTTTATTTCTTTTAATACTTTTGAAAATATTTCTTTTGTACAATATTTCGGCGTTAGGCTTATTTCGTGTGAAATAATGCATGAAACAGCTACCTATATTATTTTTCACACACACACACACAAAACAAGTCAGTAAACGAAATAGATAATGACAAATGTTGCGAAACTAGAATACTAATGTGGCCCCGCATGGCCAGGTGGTTAAAGCACTCGACTCGTAATCTGAGGGTCGCGGGTTCGAATTCCTCTCACACCAAATATGCTCGCCCTTTCAGCCGTGTGGGCTTTATAATGTGACAGTCAATCCCCCTATTCATTAGTAAAAGAGTAACCCAAGAGTTGGTGGTGATGACTAGCTGCCGTCCCGTCAAAAACAAACAGAACACTAATGGAATAATTGGGTTAAATTTTGTTTCACTTAGAACAAGTAGAATATAGTTTTAAATGTGTTTTTATAATCATTCCGTGAATCTATTTTTGTATAATATTCATGAAAATTATACTATGAATGTCTAAAGAGAGCGAACTTCAATTAACTTTTGAATATTAAAGTTATTTAGTGAACAGAATATGTATCTTCTACTCCAAGTAATATTGGGTTGAATATTGCTCTCACTTTTCGTACATACAAGATAAAAGTAAACTTCAACATCTCTGAAGAGGACGCAAATACAACATTTTCATGTGACTATAGTTACCTAAACCTAATTAATTATTTATTTTGTTGATATTTGCTCATTCCACTAAATTTTGTCCAAATCCATCAATAGATGTTTAAACAATAGCAATGAATAGCACTAGTTAAAGCCCCCCAGTGGCACAGCGGTATGTCTGCAGGCTTACAACGCTAGAAACCATTGTGTAGCTTTGTGCTTAATTTCAAACAAAACACTAGTTAAAAAATAATTTCGCATACTTCACTAACTGTTGAAGGTAAATAAAGCTTACTTTTGCTGTGTAGTTAGTTATTGTTCAAAGTAACTCCAGTTATATCTTTTGTTTGCTACTTAAGTTGAGTAAATAGTGAGTCAAAGTTATAATTTTTCTACAGCGATACAACACAAAGAACTTGTGAATTTAATTTGGTAAATTTTCATTAATTTCTTACAAGACAAATGTTTTTCACATTTGATAGTGCATATACATATGGCTTTTTCCTTCTACCAACATATTGTAAATTAAATTGGACTAATTAATACCGAATTTTTCAAAACATTAGCGCAGTTTAAATTATTTCTTGAAATATTGTTAGGAAAATACTGGAGCCTAAACCTGAAGAAACAAACCAAGTAGGTAGCGCTGAGGAAGGAACGAAGGAAGTTAAAGAAGGGAAAGGCACAGATGACAAGCCTAAAGAAGAGGCTTCAAACGAGGAAAAAAAGGAAGAGCTAAAAGAAGAAGAGCAACCTTCGGAAGAAATACAGAAGAAAACAGAGATTCAGGAGCAATCAGGTAGTGATGAAAAATGTACAGAAGAGAATACCGAACTAACCCAAGCAGCGACAGCCGAGGTTAAAGAGGAAGACAACAACGCCCAAGTGCCTTCTTCTCCTGACCATGCAGCGAGTGAAGCCCCAACACCTCCAGTGACTGATTCCCCAGAGAAAGCTACTGATGGCACTACCAAACCATTTGAAACTCAAAGTACTAATGGAACCAGTGAGGAAGCAAGCGAGAAAAAACAAACTGAAGATCAGGTAAATATTAAACATTGCCTCATTTTGAATATGTTGAAGGCTTAGAGGGAATGGGAATGCAATGCCCATTAATAATGGTAAAGTATGAAAAAAAATATGACACAGAAAATTGCATCAATATAAATATTATAATTGCACTGATAAAAATGACAGCAGTAATAATGCAAAATGGGAATAAATGTTTACTATATAAAAATCATAAACATATCTTAGCTATTTTACCTCTTCTGTTTTGGAAAGAAATGGTGTCGGCGCTTCCCACTTTGCATCATCTCTGGTGCTAACTTTACCAGTGTCATTATTATTGATGCCATTTTTCCAGAATTCAGGGATGTTATTCCTGTAGCCTATATTTTTAATCTAGATATTTATCAAAATTTGTATTGTTGTTTAGCCTTAAGAAGTTTAATGTAACATGATGGTCGTGATATTATTATCTGGAACTTTCTCTAAGGTTTGGGATACAATTTCAACAAATATAAAAAGTGAGTTAGGAGTGTGACTTACTTAATGAGTAATCAGTGCATGGTTTAATACGTTTGTCAGTTAATTGTTGTGAATATTGAGTTCATGTTATGACGATGAAATAGTGATACGAAATTAACAAGTAAATGGATTTTCTGTTAGACACTTTTGTTTTTGAAGTTAGACCTATCGTGAACATTGGTTAGGTTGACCGTGGAAATTGAAATTACAAACATTTTGTTATCGTCACGTTCCATTATTCTTTTTACTGAAAAATCCACAAGAACCCGCCCAACAATAGAAACCATTAAACTATTGCTATACAATTTTGATGTTCTGACACACACACACACAAAGAAAAACTTAACAAAACGACTTAGGCATTCTTCCTTTCAGTCGATCTCGTTGCTCGCTGAAATTTAAAAACGTATTTTAAGAAGACGGTGATAATGTAAATAGTGTTAGGCAAGTCTGTGAAACTGTTAAATGCATAGAAAATAAATTACTGGGACAACTCTACAATGTATTTATAAAGCGCAAGCTTTCAAGCTCAAAAATATATTTTGATAAGTTTTCTCAAGTGATTAAAAAAAGAAACTCAAACTTACTGCGAATGCATAGCCGTAGTCTAGAATTGTACCTAACTTCCCGAAGCATAGGCCGAAAGTTAGGCCTATGAGATGATCAGTGTATCGGAATATGGTGCAACATTTGCCTTTTGCTTAGATTAACGATTCTCAAACTTTAGTAACCCAAACCAATCGATGTTTTTTGTTTTGAAAAAAAAAGATTATGTCTACATAAAAAGGTGTGTTCCAAAATTAAATGTTTTATTTCATATAATTTTAATTTCATGAAAAATATTTTTTTATTCTATAAATCATATTTTTTAAATATTTTAATGAAACTTCAGGTATTACTTGCGGGGCCCCTGGATTATCCTTGCGAATTCCAGTTTGAGAAACGCCTTAGATTCATTTTCATCGCTAATATTAAAGAGACGTGGTTGTCAGTGGTTTATTGAATAAACTGAAAATCGTAAAAACGCTTTGGTAAATTCACGAATAAAATTATGAAATTTGTGTTTAAATACATACAACACAATTTTTATTTCTTAAGTTTAATAGAAAATTTTAAAATGCTTATTAAACTGACATTGTTAGAAAAATTAATCATTAAATGATCCATTTTTATTCTTATACACGATTTGTAAGGAATATTACAAATATTAATATACCACCAGTAGAGGTGGTATATTAAGAAAAAGTATTTTTCCAACATTTATCAGACTCTTTCCTTTATTTGTACTACAAGTTCATAACGCCATTGTTTGTTATTGAGAAATTCCGTGCGGAGGCGTTACGCAATTCATACGAGCATTATTTTAAATCTGAAAACTCCTTGATATAATCTTTATGGTTACGAAATTTTAAAACATGTTTGTGGTAGTACTGCATTAACAAGAGAGAATGGATATATAGTTAAATAACTCTTTATCCAACTATTTATTTATATTAAGATAATAGTATAAGAACTTCAGTTCAATTTACATGTCTTCATTGTAGCGTCTATTAAATTTGCTCTCGTGTATATTGAGAGAGATTGTTGCAACCTAGACAGTCAACGTCCTTGGCATGTGATCAAGACAAAATATCAGCTAGCTAGTTGAGATCAGCTGAACCCCGATTCAGCAAGCTAATTGTTAGGCTAGTAGACGTCGGGATAGTTTAGGATAGCACACATTTGTTTGCTTGTTTAATTGGTACTCGCTCTCTCTCGTTTCATTTCGAGGGGTTTATGTTAGCTTCATGTTATAAACATGTTGTGTTGAATGCACAGACAGATCGTAGTGAATGATAGATGACGTGTTTGTCTTTTGAGTGCTGAATATAATAAAGTTACACAATGAGTTTGTGACATGTTGTTTTTATGTTTGGAAAGGATGTTGTTTGTTACTAAGCACAAAGCTATACAAAGGGCTATCTATGCTCTGCCCACCACGGGGATTTTGGTAAGGACAGAAGTATAAACGCTGATAAGCCCCCAGTGTTATATTATTGCTATATTCGAAAAGACTGAAGTAAGATATTGACAACTTGTTGATGTTGTGTTTGGTGCAGATATAAGTAAAACATTTTGGTATTATTGATCTAGCTGGTACAGACAGAAATAAATTGTTGACAACCAGTCGGTATTATAATATTGGTATGATTGGTATATAAGCAAGAAAGACATAAACAGTATTTTGGTTCTATATAAGATTGTTTTTTTAAAACAAATAACGCTCTTATACCATGTTTTTTTCAGCCTACTCAGCTAGACGGCCAAGAAGAAGCCAATGTTGTGACCCAGAAGCAAAGCAACGAAGAGTGATATGTGGACCATCAGCGGTATAGTCTCTGTTTCTCGCTGTACAACAGCTCTAACCTACACCAAGTAAACAATGTAAATGTGATTCGACATTTTTATCAACAAGCAAATCTTTTCACGACCATTAGAAACATATAGCATTTTTTTTTCAAACAAAGACAGTTTTTGTCGCACACAAACTTACGTGTTTTGTTTTGTAGCAATACATTTGGTCTCCAATTTAAACCTACTTATTATAGGTAATTTTTCCTAAACATTGCTTTATATAACAACAATGCATAAATTTGTAAGTTTACAGCACTTCTCATTCTACTCAGAGAAACTGTTTTTAAGAGTTGATTCTTGTAACATTTAAAGCGACAGTCACTTGACTAATAATAGGCTACATTATACATTGTTGTAAAATAATTTTCAAGCAGGGGTGAATTTTAGTCGGTACACACCAATAACGACAAATTATTTTACAGACGGTAGTGAATACTGGCATAAAATATTTAATACGGAATTCTAAATATTAAATCTAGTATTTTAGTACTATTTTTACAATAGTTGCTTTGCTGTGAAATTATAAAACAATTTTAAAATCTTCGGAGGGGGTTGACGTGCGTTTTCGCATACTCCCACCGTAGGCACACCGAGTATTAGCATTAATTTTCCAGAAATTCATCCCTATTTTCGTGCATATGTTTAATTAAACAAAATAAAATATATATTTTTCTTCGTTAAAAAACAAAGTGTTTGTTTCGAACCTATTATATCAAAGTAAACTTTGTATCTTTTGATTTAAATTTTTCTACATTTCTTTACAAAAATAGAATTAAGCATACTTTAGAAATGCCACGTTCTATAAAAGCTAAAGGAAAAAAAAAAACACGAAAAACCGTTTCAAAGAGTCACCAGTGTTATAATGCCAGATCTCAAATTAAATATATAAAAGTATTGTTAAACAAATCGACGTGTATGGAACCACGTTTACACTACAGAATTGTTTGATGTGATTATTTCTTAACTCTTGTGTGCATATTCATACTATTGTCTTGATTGAATCGACAAAAGAAGATGACTGTGTTAAATACTTAGTGTTGTTTATGCATACCCTGAACCAGCTTTGTGGTGCGTGATTTTGTGTACATTTTGTAAATTCTTACTTGGCAGATTAAATTTATAATTATTTTTGTTTGATTATTTTAGCATTGTAATTTCTACTGCAAATGCTTTGATCTATTGTTAGTTAAGAAAAATCCAGTATTTTTCTGTGATTATGAAAGATATAGATAACGCCTGTGGCATCCTATAACTTGAAAATGCTTTACAGGAATAAATAAATTGAAAAATAGACATTCTAGTTGAGTAATTTACTTAAGCCTAACCTTACTTCTGAAATGGATTGATCTATATCAATAAAATTAATAGAGTTCTAAGTATATTTACTTAAGCTGATGGTTTGTGTATGTATGTAAGCTAGAAGTTATGTTTTTATTAATAAACTCCGTGGTGAAATACTGTGGTGTGTGTCAATGAAAAACGTATTGTATGATGTGGTTTTAACAAGCGATTCTGTTCCCTGAATAAATTTAAGATGATCCTATTTCATAAATATCATACTATAGGGATTATATAAAGTTCTTTAAAATGTTCATAAGCTTTACCCATATTATAAAATCAATCTATTTTTGTGTAAATAATTTCTCAACAGTCACATAAAATAGTGTAAATAATTCATTAAAATCATGCACACGCTTGTAAATAGTTAACCAAAATCGTGTAAATAATTACTCAAGATCATGAACCTTCGTGTATATAATTATAACAATTACGCACACTCGTGTAAACAATTATTAAAAATCATGTAAATAATAACTTAAAACCATACATACCCTTGCAAATAATTACTCAAAGTCACGTAAAGTCGAATAAATAATTATTCAAAAGTGAAAGGATGAAAATATATAATTATTGTTTTTTGAGTAAATAGATTCTACTATTATATCGTATAAAATACAGTGTTGTGACGTTACCAATTAAATATCGCAAAAACATGTGTTAGTTTGAACTTGTGACATATGATCTTGGAATTGTCTTCATCTTCTACGTAAAAATCACGAGAAAATAAACATCTCAACATTTGTAATTAAAAGTGTACTGTTTTTTCACTTCAGAATTTCAAACATATTAAAATATTTTCACTTGAAATGTTTAAATCTTTAAATATAACAGTTAACTGGGAAAACTGTGATTAAAATCATGAGGTCGTGTTATAATAAATGATAACATATACACACAGCGTGGTCACAAGTAAATAGACACCACCTTTTCAGAAAAAATGAAAATTTTCAGTCATATGCACATGAATTGATATATTTATAATTTAATTAATATCTAGTAGATCTTCCTTTCGCTTCGTGGAGTTCGTTGATCCTTTGGGGCATCGTGAGAATCATCTCGTCAGTTTTAGATTGTGGGATTTTCGCCCACTCTTGCTTCAAAACTTGGAGTAAATCGCTCTTTGAAGTTGGTTTTTTGTTGTTTCTTGACTTGCTGGTCGAGTGTGGCCCAGATGTTTCCGATGGGGTTCATGTCAGGAGATTGGCTCTGGCAGGGCAACTTCTGGATACCATTTTCTTCCTGCCACTTTTGGGTGTTTCTAGCAGTGTGACACGGTGCTCCATCGTCCAGGAACAACGTTGTGTTTTTGTCCACGAAACCCGAGGAATAAAGTGGCAAGAGTCCTTCCTCCAATATTTCGACGTATTTCGCAAAGTTTATGTTGCCAACGCACTCCACTAAGGTCGATCTCCCACCAACCCAAACAGCTCCCCAAACCAACACGCTGAAACCACCATGCTTCACAGTTGGATGCAATCTGTTGAGCCAAAACTCTTGGTGAGGCGTTCTCCAAACCCATATCCTTCCACTGTCCGAAAATTGTCTGAGAACAATACGGTCTTCCAAAAGTCCAGAGGCTTGGTCATCATATCACTTGCCCACTTCTTTCGTCTGACTATGTTGGCAGGTCTTAATAAGAGCTTCCGTCTAGCTGCTCTGCAACAATAACCCAATCTGTGTAGAATCCGTTGAACAGATTTCGGGCTCATCACACCAACTTTGGCCACTTCTACAGTCGTTAATCTGGGATCCATTTCGATGCTCCTCTTGACAGCCCTTTGTGTCCTCTCCGATGGACCAAGACACTGCTCAATTGTTTCATTGCCATGTTTCCTGAACTGCACGATGATTCTGTTGACTGTCGAAAGCAGGATTCCCAAATTCTGCGAAATGTGCCACTGACTTATTCCACCATCTGCTTGACCAACTATCCTTCCTCTAACAAAATCTGACAATTCGAGAGAACCTTGATTTCTAGGCATGTTGTACCACAAGATAATTAGTGTACGGACCATTTTCAATTGTATAGTGCTCTGTGAACACAAATTAGTTAGCATAAATCAGTTAAATGACGAAAAATTAGGTGTCTATTTACTTGTGACCACTCAATGTACAAGAGAATATTGGAAATGCAATTTTTCGGGCATATTTATAAAGACTGCATGGTTTGATTGGAGACCGATTTCTCTTACTGCGAGGCTCGGCATGGCCAGGTGGTTAGGGTGCTCGACTCGCAATCTGAGGGTCGCGGGTTCAAATCCCCATCACAACAAACATGTTCGCCCTTTCAGCCGTGGAGGTGTTATAATGTGACGGTCAATCCCACTATTCGTTGGTAAATGAGTAGCCCAAGAGTTGGCGGTGGGTGGTGATGACTAGCCGCCTTCCCTCTAGTCTTACACTGCTAAATTAGGGACGGCTAGCGCAGATAGCCCTCGTGTAGCTTTGCGCGAAATTCAAAAACAAACAAACAAACAGTAAGTATGGTAAAGATCTAGGCTGGCAGACCTTCCTTCATTGGTTATTCTTTGGCCACAGTTAAATCTAGGTTATCTCTTGGAGTCTTCAGAACCTTGGGTTAATCTTTAGATCATTTAAAAATCATGTGTAGATGTTATATGCCCCCATAGTAGCACAGCGGTATGTCTGCGGACTTACAACGCTAGAATCCGGGTTTCGATACCAGTGGTGGCAGAGCACAGATAGCCCAATGTGTAGCTTTGTGCTTAGCTTCAAACAAACAAAGATCTTATATACTCGGTGTAAGTAATCGTGAAACTTGGGTAGCATTTACACCCAAACAGCTTCAGGTGGTCCCCCCTCCAAATATTCTGTCAATATTCATTAACAAATTTCACCTGAATGCTCAGAAAGGAAATATCACAAAGCCCTTTCACTCTTCAAAATGTCTTAGAAATCCTAGCAATCATTTTCAGTTCTTTCAACTGAAAATGTTCTAGGTGTTATATCTAATGATATTAACTATCCTAGCTATAAGTCTCACAAGTAACGTGTAGTCTTCTTTACAGAAATTCTGTTACAAGTCAGTAACAGTACGAATAATTATCACAAAAAGTACACAAATATCTTCCCGTCAAAAATCACTTGACAGTTCAGAAAGTAAGGATCAAGATTCCATTTCACTCATACAAACTGTCGATATTCTAGACATTATGCTTACTAACATCTGTTGTTTTAACTGCATAGTTATCAAACATCCATCACTGCTGAAGTATTGGTCAATAGCTTGGAAAGCAAGGATTGCAATTCCCTTTGGGCAGCATTCAATTTACTATTTAACTCACAGTCCTCGTTGCTGGTCTGGTTTGGCAATTAATCCCAGGCATAATGATCAGGAGATCGTCTTGTTGATTTGGCCAATCATTCAAAGTGTCATGCAGCTCTTCCACTGATGTTTCCTCATCTGACTCTTCTTGGAGAACTAGATAATTAATTCCGGCATTTTCTTCCTCATTAGATAACAAAACAGTAATCTTACTGTCACTTGACTCAACAGTGTCAACATCATATTTTTGATCTAATGAGTGCAGGAGTGATTCATTAGTGACATATGGCTTAATTTTGTCAATGCACATGTCATAGCTTAATACACAGAGTTGGTGGAAGACTGGGTTAAGACCAGTACAGCCAGAGATGACTTGGTTACATGCCACAGGTATTTCCTGTCTCCATATCTGAACTTTCGTTCCTTAACTGCTTTTCATAGAATCTCTTCTGCTATATGGTGTATGTTACTAGCTGCTGACACGGTAGTTCATGCGCATCAACCACATTATACATTCTTGCAAACAATGTGGTATTTCTGCTTCAGGTGGTGCACATACATCAGAATTATATAAAGCTGTATTTCTTGGAAAAACAAGAACATGTTTCATGAACAACCAGTCGACGTCTGCTCTATTACAGAACATATCATTATGATGTACCGTAAGTGCTTATCGAAATCCGTTTCGTTGCGATTAACAAACTTTACAAGAATCCACTTTCTTACAAAACTTCAAACTGAAGTTGATATGGTAAAGTGTGTATCTTAATCATACTTAACACTTTGCTTGCACATCTAAGAAAATATTTGATGATTGAAATTAGCTCCATGTTCTCCGAAAATTTTGCAAATGATCTGAATTGTGTCTCCATTGTTTAGTTAACAAGTTGGTGATGAATTGAGTCAGTGTATTAACCACTTGGTAAAGTATTGAATACTAACAACACATAACAATTACCTAATTCAATTTCCCACGTAGGTCCTGATATATCCAGAGATATTTTCTGTAATGGGGAACCAACAACTACCTGCCATAAATTATCATGTTTGGCCATTTTCGCAACATTATTCTATATCTTAACGGGAATGTGACGAAAATAACTGCTTTTACACGTAAGCACGTGTACAAGTAATATTCTGATGGCCTACAGTCCTTACAATATGCAAAACCTGAAGTAACTTCCAAGAGTTTGGAGAAATGTTAGCTGCACCATAAATTAAGAAACATATCTCAGTGATTTATTATATCAGTACAAAACACCTTCAGGCACTCATAATTGCTTGTACAAGTGCCACAGGCTATGTGCATCTGTGCTACTTTCCCTGATCTGTGGTGGTTGAGGTTCACGTTGCTACATGTCAAGTAGAACCCAAGATATAGGTCTTTCAGTTGCTTTTCCTGGAGCTCCTGAAGTGTTATTTGTGGTATAAATCCACTAATGGAGTCATCATCTACTGTATAGTTCATAATTACTGCTGCTGCAATGGATTTCACTCCCACATGATAACCCAAATAAAGACATTCAATAAACAATCGTATTCATTATTTGGTGAGACAATCTATCAACACATCCACGTTGTAGATTTTATTAATAATGTACAACAAAGTCATAATCTTACAAAATTTTGATCCAACATGCAATCACTCCCACTGTATTTTTGAAGTTCATATGCCATTTAAGTAATGCATGGTCCACCCGAATAGTGAAATCTCTACCACAAGTAATGTTGGTTATGTTTGAAAGAAACTGCAAGCAGTCTTTCTTTGATGTGTGGTATATTCATTCAGGAGTCATCAGCCTATGACTAGAATATCTAATTACGGATT